TTTCTTTGTGCAGAACAAAACACATGAGAAACACATCTGATCTGAGACTTTAAAAAAAAAGTCCTTGAAGACTCTCTCTCCCCTCTCTCCCCTCTCTCTCAAATTAAAATTAAATTATTGTCTTCCACAATTGTCTGATATATTGGGTAGTTAAATTTAGTAAATACGGGATCAGAGATGGTTTGGCCTTAACTGACTTGTTGCATTTGAATTTAATTCTGTGGTATAAGATGTTTAGGTCATGTTTAAACCATAAAATGCTTTCCACATTTTAAAATGTGTGATATTAATTTCAAGTCACACAAAAAGGAATGCTTAAATTTTATTTGGCTAATTTAAAAATAATTACAGCTTCTGCTGTAGCACCTTTAAAAAGTATGTTTTGAGTTTTAAAGGAAACATTTGTCAGGCTGTCATCGTCTGCTGCTTTGCCTATTTTTAAATGTTAAATTTTGGTTTTTGAGGGACTCCTCTGCACGAGAGAGACAGTTAACAGACAGCAGGCCATCTTTGTTCAGTAATGGATATAGTAACTCTAGAAATCCCAGTACTGTATGTTATGGCTCACTGTTTAATTTCAAATAAAACATCATTTTCATATATTTTCTTTACATACATGAAATGAGTGTTTCAAGACTTTGAAAAACGATGGAAATGTTTTGATCCAAGGGTGTATATAGTTGTATGAGAGGGGATCCTCTAGTGCTTAATTAGACCCTTATGTCACTGGATCTACATACAGACATGTAGCTTGATCCACATATGGGAGGCCTGTGTGGTCCTCCCAGGGACAGTAGGGGCCACATGCATTGCCATGGGGCCTGGCACTGTGCATTCCTGACAATCATGCATTTACTCTGTAAGGAAACTTAACAGTGCTTGTGGACCAGTAGAGCAGAGCCACAACAAGTAAGGACGAGGCTTTGTCCTACTCCAGGACTCTTAATTGATACAGCTGAATATTAATTGGGGGGGGGGAGAGAGTAAAAAACCTCATTCTCTGATTCTGACAAACCAGCACAACAGTCTCCTATAGAAGGAGCGTGTTAGAAACTGTTCAAAATCATGATAAAAGGAAGAAGAGATTCCCCTGTGTCTTTTGAAATAAGAGGAAGATGATGGTTTTTGGGAAGCTAACTTCATATTCTCAAGAAGGAGAATAATATATTTCCCAAACAGTATAAAGTAGTAGGAGAATGGTCTCTATATAGTCGTCAAATTAGGAGCTTGCCAGATAGTTATCACACTACTACTGCTACTGATATTGATGCAGTATTTGGGGGGTTGGATAATACAAATGAAGAAAAAGATTATTCAGTTAAAAGTCAGGGCTGCTGTGAGTGGCCCCCGCTGCTCCCTCCCTGATGAGGCAGTAAATTGTGGTAGAATCAGGACTTCGTTAGGAACAAAGAAAGGTGGAAAGATGATGCATAAACACAAGTTCTTGCAGAGTCAGCCCCTGCAGGGTGTCAGGGTGCTGGGGTTCCTTGCAGTACCATGCCCCTCTGGGCAATAGCAGAATCTAGTCCAGGGCCACCCTCTGGAGGTTGGCTGCATCTCCAGTCCGTATGCCCCTCTGGCTTGCAGAAGGAAGAAACAGAAATGAATGCCTCTGCAGCCTCAGGCCACGTCAAACTCTCATTTCCAATGTTGGCCAGGCTCCTCCCTCAAGCCTCTGGCCTTAGTCCCGGAACACCATGCCCCTCTGGACAATAGCAGAATCTAGTCCAGGGCCACCCTCTGGAGGTTGGCTGCATCTCCAGTCCGTATGCCCCTCTGGCTTGCAGAAGGAAGAAACAGAAATGAATGCCTCTGCAGCCTCAGGCCACGTCAAACTCTCATTTCCAATGTTGGCCAGGCTCCTCCCTCAAGCCTCTGGCCTTAGTCCCGGAAACAGAGTACAGTGGGGTCTCGACTTACGAACGGCTCGACATATGAACGTTTCGACTTACGAACCGCTCTCATAGGAATATATGGACTCGACTTACGAACTTAGATTCGAGTTACAAACTCTTTCCCCCCCCTTTTTTTAAAGCTAAGTCATCTTAGGTTAAAAGGAAAAAAGAAAAAATATCCCCCTCTAGTGGCAGAAGGCGGAATAGCAGCTTCCCATTAGTTTCTATGGACGAAAAGAGCAGATACGGATTAAATGATTTTCAATGCATTCCTATGGGAAATGCAGATTCGATTTAAGAACTTTTCGACCTGAGAACTGCCTTCCAATACGGATTAAGTTCTTAATTCGAGACCCCACTGTAGTTCCCGGGCCAGCCAAGAGTTTCTTCACTCCCTGGTTAGCTAACCAGATATGTCCACATGGAGAAAACTGTTCAATTAGGGCAGGCAGGAGCCCCTCCTGGCTTCCCTCCAGTCGAGGGAGTCAGCTGGTGGAAGCAGCTGGGGAAGGATGGGAGCTAAGGCCATGATCTCTCCTTCCCAGACCCCTTGCTTAGCCTCTTAGGGTTCGGATGCCACATTATCACCCTTCCCGGGTTGGCAAGGACCTCCGGCTCCCTCCTAGCTCCTCTCCTGGTAACGAGGATTCATTCCTATCAATTAGGAATTCCAAGGCATTCTGCCAGGTGTCAACGTGTTCTTCCTCCCCTGAGCTCTCATATCCCCCTCCTATTTCTAGCCTGGCCAGAGCACCTTCCCCCTCTGAGAGGTGTGCCTGGCCCCTCCTCTTCTCCGTGGGCCCAGGTGTTTGGAATGGGGAGAGCATTTCTCCTGCCGTAGGAGGCTGACCACTCTGCCAGCCAGCTGCAGCTGGCTCACAGCCACCTGTACTGTCCCCATCCTCATTGATCAGTTCAGGGAGGAGGCAAGGGAGGCCGTTCTTAATAGTCCTTGCAGGCTCTCAATTATTTATTTTATTATATTGTATATGATATCCCTAATAATGTGGTACTGACAGATTATAGTTTTCCATTTATTGCCAGTACTGCTTAAACACAGGAAAGCAACCTGGGCAATTCACGGGGCTGAATTGTTTTTAAGTTTCATTAAATCCCAAATCACCAGCTGTTGAAACTGGTACAGTTTGCCTTTCAACAAGGGAGGTTTGTGGTACTATGGGGCTTTACACTCACAGGAGCAAACTTTTAGACATAATTTCAGAATACTCTTCTGGCTTTTGACTTCTCAGCTCCAGGGATTCCTGGATGAGATAGATGATCAGTCTGGCTTCAGGGCAGAGACTCCTTTGATCTCCTTGGTGGATGATCTATGCCGGGAACTGGAAGGGAGCATGTGTCCCTGTTAGTTCTGCTGGATCTCTTAGCAGCTTTCAATACCATTGACTACTGTGGTATCTTTCTTTGACATCTCTCTGGGATGGGACTTAGATGCACTGTTTTACAGTGAGTGGTGCTGGGGGACTCCTGTTCATCACTGTGACCTTTGGCCTGTGGTGTCCCTCGTGGATCTGTTTTGTCCCCTATGTTGTTTAATATCTACATGAAACCGATGGCAGAGGTCATCTATCTCACTTTTCCATCTAAATTCAAGGAAGCTGTCCATTTCTAAATCAGTGTCGTGTCAGTAATGGACTGGATAAATAATATTAGGATAAATAGACTGAAACAATCCAGATAAGACAGAGGTGCTCCTGATCAGTCAAAAACCAGAACGAGGAATAGGGTTGCAGCCTATGTTGGATGGGGTTATGCTCCCTCTGAAAACACAGGCATGCAGTTTACGGGCTCTCCTGGATTAATCTCTGAGCCTGGATGCTCAGGTTTCATTGTTTGCCAGTAGTGCCTTTTCATAGTTGAAACTAGTGTGCCAGCTTTGCCCATTTCTTGAGAGGTCTGATCTGGCTATGGTGACACATGTCCTAGTTGCATTTTGGTTGGATTGCTGTAACATACTCTACATGGAGCTGCCTTTAGAAAGTGTTTGGAAACTCCAAAGTGTCCAAAATTCCACAGCCAGGTTGTTAACTGGGGCTGGTACCAGAGAAAATGTAACACATCTGTTATAACATCTCCACTGTCTGCCAATCCATTTCCAGGCACAATTCAGTGTGCTGGTTTTGACTTAAAGAGCCCTAAACGGCTTGGGTCCAAGCTATTTAGAAGACTGCATCTCTGCCTGTGAGCCTGCCTGCGCATTAAGATCATCAGGGGAGGCCTTTCTCTCAGTCCCACCAACCTGGCAGGTGCGATTGGTGGGGATACAGGAGAGGACCTTCTCTGTTGCTTCTCCCAGACTCTGGAACTCCCTCTGACAGGAAGCTAGGCTGGCCCCATCTTTGCTGTCTTTCTGCAGGCAGGCAAAAACCTTTCTCTTCAGGAAGGCTTGTTTTAAATGACTGGTGGTCTGAGTGGGGTTTTAAAATGGACTGTTGTTGTGCTCTGTTTTAAATGTGGTGTAATATTGATCTTAGATACCATTTTAATATAGTACTTGTTTAATCCTTTTAAAATATTTGTATACTTACTGTTTTAGCTTTAAATACTAATTTAATAATGTAAGCTACCTTGGGTTCTTTTAGGGAGAAAGGAGGCATAGAAATATTTTAAATAAATAAAGCAAATAGTACTTTGCGTTTAGAAGTACTTGTAATAACCAAGCAAGATATTCCATAGAATGTACAAAGTGATACCACAGTTAACTTGCTGTGTAATGCAAAGGTGTGTGTTAGGGACAAGGAAAACAAGAAATTTCCAGTTGTTTGGTTTCTGTATACACATGCAGTGCTATTTTTATGCAGAAAATAAGTACAGCTTCATTTTTTTTATTGTAATGTTACTTTGTTCACCCTGTTGATTAAATCTCATTTACTGGATAACTACAACTGGCTATACTATCAAGTTGCATCAAGTTTGAGCTTTTTGTTGTCCTAATAGTTTATAACAACTAACTTGTGTACTGCATTTTCCAACTTTTTTTTGCCAACCTGAACTTATTTCAAAAGAATATAGCAGCAAACTTTTTAAAAATCTGTTTGCTAATTCATTTCCCATATTTCTCATCCTCCTTCTCCTATTTCTACTCAGGTTCACCTTTTCTAGCTAATGAAGATGGTGTTCTTGGAGGAGTGATAGTGCTTCGATCTTGTAAGTGTTCTGCAGAGCCCAGCTCTTCGCAGGATAAGCAGCCCCTTCTAGGTAAGAATGTGAAAAGAAGCCATTGAGGAATAGTTAACCCAAAAGCTAACTGATGGAGATATTTGCGTAAGCCACAGATTCCAAGTGATCCAAAAATAATAATAATAATAATAAAAACAAAACCCAAGAAAGAGAATCAAGGAATTAAAACTCATGTCAGTTAATTGGTCCCTGTAAAATTATTCCTCTTTACTAAGTTTTAAATTTGTCACCAGAATTCTGAAACTTTTGAAATGTATGAAAAGAAAAACCTTGAGAACTGTACAGTAGAGAGTAAGACTTGTAAGAATGTCTCCTATTAGGAGATGAGTATTGCCATAACTTCCTCAGGAGAAGCCTAGACGAGTCTTGCTATCAGTCTCCAGCATACTGTAGCTAGATTTCACCTGTCAAGTAGACAGATAAAAACAATTACAGTGGTGCCCCACTTGACGATTACTCGTTAGACGAGGACATCGCTTAATGATGAGTATTTTGCGATGAGTATTTTGCGATCCCTGCTTCGGGAACCAAGCTGTGTTTTAGGACGGATTCCTTGCTATACAGGCCCCGAAAATGGCCGCCCCATGGAGGATCTTCGTGGACGCTGAGGTATTTTGCCCATTGGAATGCATTGAACCGGTTTTCAATGCATTTTAATGGGTTTTTAACTTTCGCTTTACAGCGATTTTGCTGGAACAGATTATCCTCATCAAGCGAGGCACCACTGTATACATATTTATTCTCCACAATATCAAATTTGTTAGTACAGGCAGAGTGCGCACGCACATTACACACACACAGATACCCAATTTATTATCTGGAATAATTCTGTAGAATGACAGAATTATTCCCAATTTTAATTGGAATAATTGAATTGGAGAAATGCCTTTGAGTGTTCAAATGCCCCATCCAATGAGAATAGTTTCTTCAGAAAGATAGAACAATTCTGTGATTACCTCTGTATTTGGCCAACATTTTGAAATCTAGGTTTTGATTCCTGAGGACTTCTCCTATTAAGGACTTTGATCATTGTGTTTGCTTTTACCTATTTCAGTGGAGAATTCAGAGTTCTCAAAGCACTTCCCCTTTTCTATATATAATGGTAATAAGGAAAATATTCAGTATTGCCTTCAGCTTTTCCTAGCATTATTGTCTTTTCTAGCAAGTCTTGCCTGCTCATGAAGTGCCCAAGGTATAACAGACTGAATTTTGTTATTTTGTTTCTAGAGAGAATTCAGGCTTGATTTGATGTAGGACCTACTTGTTTGTCTTTCTGGATGTCCCCAATATCCAAAAAGCTATCTTCCAACACCATATTTCAACAGACTTTTTTTTCCCTATTGACTTTCTTCATTGTCTAGCTTTCACATCTAAACATAGTAATTGGGAACACAGTCATGATCTTGGGTGTTTCCAGTGACACATCCTTACGTTTGATAATCTTTTTCTAGTTGCTTCATTGCTGCCCTTCTGAGTCTCAGTATTCTCCTGATTTCTTGGCTGCAGTTCCATGTGAATTTATGATTGAACCAAGGTATATAACTTCAGTTTCTTCATTGTCAATATGAAAGTTATATAGTTTTTCTGTAGATATGATCTTTGTCTTAATGTTCAACTGCATCCTTGCTTTCTTCTTTCACTTTCACCAGAAGTCATTGCTGCTTTCTGCCAATCATACAGTGTCATCGACATATCTTAAATCACTGATGTTTCTTCCATGAATGTTCACTCCTCTTTCATCAGTAGTTGATCTTGCTTTCTATATTATGTATTCTACATATAAATTGAACAGGTAGGGAGATAAAATGCAACTATATAACTTCTACCTGACACCTTTGCTTCTAGGAAACCATTTTGTTTTTCTGTATCTCCTCTTACAGTTGCTTGTTGCCTTCAATATAGATTATGCATCAGGAGAGTCAAGTGTTGAAACACTCTTACTTCTTTTAGAACAATCTATAGCTTTTCATGGTTCACACATTCAGAAGCTGTGACTGATCTTCATTGGAAATTATTTGGTAAGCTACAATAGCCAACATATGTTTGCAGTATGATCTCTAGTGTCTCCTTTTGAAATTCAACTTAAAATCGGGCATTTTTTTCAGTTCCTCTTCCTTTTTAAAATTCAGCTTATACCTCAGGCATTTCTTGCAACATCCTGAGCATCACTTTGACTGCATGGGAAATTAATAATGTGGTCCTGTAGTTGCTACATTCCTTGGTGTCTCCTTTCTTGAGTTTGGAACACATATTGAACATTTCCAATGTTGGCGGCATTGCTCTGTTTTCCAAATTTATTGGAACATTTTTACAGATTCAGTATCTGTAGCTTGAAATAGTTCAATTGGTATGTCATCTACATCTGGTGATTTATTTCTTCCACGTGCTTTAAGAGTAGCTTCAGCAGCTTTTACTTTCCTTTCTAAAAGTGCAGGTTCTTCATCACAGGATTATTCTTCTAAGTAGTCCATTATCTCTTCTGTATAGTTCTTAAGTATATTGTTTCTGCCTTCTATTTTTTTCTTGTCAGGAGTGAAGAAAGTTTATTAGGGATGCTTCAGTTCCTAGGGCAGCAGGACCACTACATTGATTTACTGATCTGAAATTGGTAAATATTTTGCTGAATAAATAATATTCTGGACTGAAGACCTCTGCAGCAAAGATGGATTTTTTTTCATCATTTAGAGTGAGGACAAATTAATTAGTTCACCAGAAATGTAGTTATATAGACAGTTATATCATGCAACAACACCATATTCATCTAAGTAGCAGTAAGTCTGGGATCCGATTGTTGAAAGAAGGATATGCTGTGCAGAAAAGTAAAAGGTAAGTATTTCAGGGATTCTTTTGACTGCTTTGGAAGAAAATTTTACAAAATATTTGAGCTGAGCGTTCTAAACAAGTCTAATACCATTAATGATTAGCATAAATTCTATTGTCATATGTGTATGTTTATTCTTACAGTAAAAGAGGCATACTAGTGAACATTTTTTGACTGAATCGAACGATTTTAGTAAGTTTCAGAATGTAAAATGGAATAAATGAGTTCATATATAAATTGGAACAAATAAGAGATGTTATTTAATTGTGATGAAGTAGAAAAATGGATAATTAAGAAAAATAAGTAAACAAAATTATTAACTACCTAGGTATAAACATTATTTAAATATTCGTAAGATTTGAAAAAAGAAAATTTTGATGTATGGAAATATGAAGTTTAAAATAAATTGAATGAATATAGACAGTTAAAATTACAGTGGTGCCTTGACTTAAGAACATCCCGACTTACGAACATTTCAAGTTATGATGAACTGCGGCTGCAAAATTTTGCTTCGACTTGTGGCCGGAGCTTTGAGTTATGAACAGAAGAAGGCATGGAAAAAAGGTGGGGAATTCACATTTGATAACCATTGGTAGGCAATGAGGCTGCTTCTTTGTAGCTCTTTCGCCCCAGTGGTTAGAATGAGTGCAATCAGAGGAGGCTTTGGACTGCCTGGCAAGGTAAGGTGCTGCTTTCTGCTTTTTAAAAACTTTTCTGGGTGGGTTTTGCAGTGTGGTTTCGGGCTGGGGGTTATGTTTCTGTGCTGTGATGGGTCTTGGGTGTTTTTTTTGTATCTTCCCCCCCATTTCCAATGGGTCTTGGGGGGTTTGCTTGCATTTTGGAGTCCCCCCCACCATTTCCGATGGGTCTTGGGGGTTGTTTGTTTTTCTGTTTTTCCCACATTTCCGATGGGTTTTGGGGAGTTTGCTTGCTTTTTGGAGTTTTTCCCCCCATTTCCGATGAGTCTTGGGAGATTTGATTGTTTTTTGCCCCCCCCCAATTTCCAATGAGTCTTGCACACTTGGCTTGCTTTCTGCTTTACTTCTTTTGCATATCCAATAGCATGCTTGGCTTGTTTTCTTCCCCCCCCCCTTCGGCCAGAACGGATTAATCGTGTTTCCGATCAGTCTCGGAGTGCTTGTTTTTTGTCCCCCCCCCTTTGGCCGGAATGGTTTAATTGCATTTCAGTGCATTTCAATGGGAAATGGTACTTTGACTTACGATCATTTGGAGTTACAACTATGCTTTGGAACGGATTAAGTTCGTAAGTCAAGGCAGCACTGTATCATGGCTTGATAGAATTGCTTTGTGTAGAATAATAAAATAAATGTTGTGTTTATGATGTTGCACATAAAGATATCTGAACAAGATTTGGAAGAGTGGCAGAATATGATTAATACAAATTGTAATGACAATGAAAGAGCAAGGATAAATTCTAAAAATGTGGTATAACACCCCCAAATCAGGAGGATTTGGTCTTCCTAGTATAAAATTATATAGCTAATCAAATGAGGTCTGTGGTATATTTATATCTTATTCAAATAATTTAATATGGTCTAATTTGGAATTGCAAGAAGTAGATGGGTATATTGATAGTTTTTTAAAAATCAGCAATAACGGTAAAGTGAACAAGATAGAAAATCCCCTTTTTAAAATATATTACAGATTTGGAATAATTATAGAAACATATTTATTCCAATAATTTCTCCTGTATATCTGGTAGTGGGGTTACAGAATTTTCTAGTGAATTTGAAGGAGAATTTGAAGAAGCTATTAAAGGAGAAATGAATTAACAGATTAGAAGAATGGTTAGAGAAGACAAATAGTGGACAACAAATAAAAGTAGTTTTAAAAGTAGAAAGAATATTGTGGTTTAATTTAATTCAGTTGGATTTATGGACTAGAGAATGGGTAAAAAGAAATAGTAAATGCAGAGAGTTGACAAAATCTGAAGAAATTATAGTACAAAGGGAAAAATACGAAGGGTAATAGTAATGAAAGAGATGATCAGAGCAATGTATATAATATTTATAGATGAGGATCTTAAAGCAATATGGGAAGTAGATTTGGGAGAAGAAATACCGTATTTTTCATTCCATAAGACACACTTGACTATAAGACGCACCTTGCATTTGAGGCACCATTAGGGGTGAAGGAGTGTGTGCGTGGAGGGGCAGGGGGAAGTCATGCGGTGGCGTGATTTCCCCTCCTTTTCCGGCACTCTAAACACCTTTTCTTCCCCCGATCACTTTTCTCCAATATGTCTTTCCTTAACACTGCTCTTTACATTTCTTAGAAAAGGCCTCCCTCCTCTCTCGTGAGAATGATGATGCCGCTGCGGGGCCAGGGCTCCAGCAGTGAGGCGTGCCTTTGCTATGCTTCCCTGGATGGCACGCGAGACCATGAGGCTGTCCCATGAGAGCAGCTTGAGAGGAGGGGTGAACCGGAGGGCATATAAGGTCGCTCACCCCTCCTGACTTCCTCCTTCATAGGGAAAGCTTTGCTGTTCGGCTGGCCATTGGGCTAGCACGTGGGATGGACCTCGCAGCTTCCTTGGAAAAGGCAAGGGGGATGGAGCTTTGAGGACCCAGGCGGGCATTTTTAGCAGCTGTTTTTCCGGCACTCTAAAAACGTTTATCCCCCTCTTCTCCCCCTCTCATGACTCCTCCCTCTCTTCACCTACTTCCCCCTCCTCTATCCATTCCTCTGTCTCGGGCCGCTCCATCTCTCCTTCTTCTGTCACTTAAAACTTTTTTAAACACTATTCGCTCCATAAGACGCACACACTTCCCCCCCCACACTTTTTTTTGGGGGGGAAGTGCACCTTATGGAGCAAAAAATACAGTAAATACTGAGGTGTGGAAGAATATATGGGACAAAAGAATTTTAAAGAGCGTGTCTGTAAGAATAAAGAACAATTAATATTATACATTAATTTGGAGATGGTATTTAATATTGGTAAAACTTGATCATATAGATACTAAATATTCTAAATTATGCTGGAGATGCCATGAAGTTATAGGTATGCATTTTCATATGTGGTGGAAATGCAAAATGATCTTGAAATTTTAGAGGTTTGTTTTTAAGGAAATGAATGTAATACTAAACTTAAATATGAAAGTTTGTCCTGAAGTAGCACTTTTATCTATTTTAGATTGAGTTCAGTGTGGAGAGTTGAAGAAAGAATTAATTTCTATTTTACTAAGAGCAGCAAGATGATGATGATGATGATGATGATGATGATGATGATGATGATGATGATGATGATTATTATTATTATTATTATTATTATTATCAATACTACTACTACTACTACTACTACTACTACTACTACTACTACTACTACTAATAATAATAATAATAATAATAATAATAATAATAATAATAATAATAATAATGGAAAGTACATTATGATTTTCAGTTATGTAAATGGTATAATGTGATTTGGAATATAACTGTTAACAATAAGCTGACATATGATATTAAACATTAATTAAAAGGGTTGGTATATAAGAATATTTATAATGTTATATGGGGAGATGATTGAATTTTTATTAATAAAAAGGAAAGAACACTAACCGTCGCAAGAAACATTGTCATTTTGGAAGGAATAAGGGGCTCTGAGTTATTAAATGGAAAGCTGAATGCATCCTTATTACTTCCGGTGAAGAGGAGCAAAAAGTTTTAGTTAAATATATTTGATTAATTATGTTAACTAAGTGTGTTTATCTGTTGTTTTTAGATATGTTATGTGTTGTTTTAGTTATGTTTTTTGGATGTGTTTTGTTCAGTAAAGAATTTTTTTTAATGAGATGAATGAATAAGTAACTATTCAAATGAACTGTCTATGTATTTTGACGTAAGACATTCTTTCGCATTCCATGTTGTAAATAAAGGATTGTTCTGTTCAATTTCATAGTAGAGTTCCTGTGGAGTCATACGACAGAGAGCATGTGTGTGGGCTATATGTCAGCACAAGATGGCAAAGCTAAGGTAAGTTACAAAGAATAACTTGACTATTAAATGCCCCCCTCCAAAGGCTCCCAAAGACTTCCCTTGGGTAAAAAGGAGCCCTAGAGAGCCTCAGGACCTGAAAGGGGGATAGGAAGCATTCAGTATGTTTAAATTAATTATTTCTGGTGCTGAATCTGATTTATGCCAGTGTAACTTAATGCAACAGGATTCTGCTCATAGGAATCGGGTCGAATTGAAGTAAACGTTTTAATGAGCTTGAAGGGACAGGATTATGGATGGAAATATACACTTGCATTTTAAGAATCCAAGAAAGAGGCAGTTTGCTCACCAGATAATCTAGATACAGATGTGTTATCAAAGTGCTGTATATTAGGTGGAGTTGTTAGGGGCAGAAGGGAGTAATCTGACTTCACTTCCTTTGTCACCATTTCCTGTGCCCTTCTGTACATGGTGGGCAGCAGATCTGAATAAGAACAGCCTCTGCTGTCTCTCCATATGGTATGGGATTCTCTAAAATCAAGATTCCAGGTTACATGGAAAGCCCCCTGTTCTCATCCTCTACATGTAGAAGAGTAATAAAACCATTGATGAAGGAAGAAGAGTTAAGGCATTTCCCTCTACCCAATGTGGGTTTAACCTAAAAGATAGAATAGGGCAAGAATCCAGCACTTATGTCAGGGTTTCTTAGGTGACCATTTTCGGAGGATGGGGCACTATTAAGAGTACAGATATTGGGGAAAACATTTGTTTAATTAAATAGAAAGCATTGCTAGCACAATTTTTGTTCCTCATTATCCAACTTAGCTATCTTATTTGTTTTCTTATTATATTTGCTGTGCTATTAAATACAGTTAAAATGGTCCTCATCCACACAAGCACCAGATGCTTTTGTATTATAGGTTATTGTTACGCCATATGACATAAATCCAGAAAAAATGTCCGTTTCTTGTAATCCTTATGACTCTTATTTTCTATATCCAGGTGTATTCACATAGAAATAAGGTTGATGTCCCATTTTCCCAGGGAATTGATATACATGGAGATAGTTTGACTGTATCACTAGACAAACTAAATATTAAATTTACAGTTGGCTGGAGGGAATGGTACTACTACAGTGCTAGGCACATTGTATGTTAGATTGGCAATAATGTAATGCCACAATTTTTGTAGCCTTTGTATCCCAGTTTTTGGATCAATTTTTGTATCACAGCTAGCTTGATGGTGGCATGTGGGGCCTTGATACAAATTGCAGTTCAGTGTAATGATCTTTTCCCACTTGCAGAGCTTTCATTGGACATCTGGTGTGCATTGTTTTCATACCACTGGCAAGTTCTCCAGCTGGTACTTTTGATTGGACTGAGTGACACAGCTGCTTGCTCTTCTTTGTTCACTTTTAAATTAGGGTTGTGATCAGTCCTTTGGGAGTGTTGATCTTTCTGCCCATCTCTTTCCTTTGACCCCATGGCTGTAAATGTTTTCCTGAAATTATCCCCAAATTACCTGGCTGCTCCACAGGGACGTGGTGGCGCTGTGGGCTAAACCGCAGAAGCCTGTGCTGCAGGGTCAGAAGACCAAGCAGTCGTAAGATCGAATCCACGCGACAGAGTGAGCTCCCGTCGCTTGTCCCAGCTCCCGCCAACCTAGTGGTTCGAAAGCATGCAAATGCAAGTAGATAAATAGGGTCCACCTCGGTGGGAAGGTAACAGCGTTCCGTGTCTAAGTCGCACTGGCCACGTGACCACGGAAGATTGTCTTTGGACAAAACGCTGGCTCTATGGCTTGGAAACGGGGATGAGCATCGCCCCCTAGAGTCGAACACAACTGGACAAAAATTGTCAAGGGGAACCTTTACCTTTACCTTTACCTGGCTGCTCATCAAGAAATAGACTGTTCTGATAACAGGCAGAAATTTGTTCTCATAAGAGGTAGAAGTTTCCATATTCCTAGACTGAGACTAATATTGCAGTGAGTCTCCAAATGGAAAATGGGAAAAGAGGAAATGGAGAACCTTGAAAATAGATAAGGGCAGATTAATTGCTCAAAGAGCATAATAATTGGTTGTTGTGGGTTTTTCGGGCTCTTTGGCCGTGTTCTGAAGGTTTTTCTTCCTAACGTTTCGCCAGACTCTGTGGCCGGCATCTTCAGAGGACAGCTGAAGATGCCGGCCACAGAGACTGGCGAAACGTTAGGAAGAACAACCTTCAGAACACGGCCGAAGAGCCCGAAAAACCCACAACAACCATTAGATCCCGGCCGTGGAAGCCTTCGCGAATACAGCAGAATAATTGACATCTTGAAAAAAACAAATGAGATTATATTTCTGAACTTCCCAACATTTTTTTGGCCATATATATGACATTATGTGTCTCATTTTCTGTATTTTAGCTTGTCTCCTAGGCAGATTCATTGGCCTTTTAGCAAAGTTTCAGCCCGTGTGTGTTTGAAAATTAGAGGGGATATTTGTACTTGAAGTAATATTTTGTATTTGCCAAAAACTTTCTTCGTTGTACATATTAACTCTATAATGCATATTGATACTGGCTGTGTAGCACATCTGAAAACATTTAGACGTGTTTATTTATACAAGAAATAAATCACATTACATGATCCTGTTGGTAGAATTCCCCCATTCTTTGGATGCTTGCTTTCAAGGATAGTATTTTCCCTTGAGAGGCTAGTTTTCCATGGACATAGGCTTTGTATATTTGACTAACCACCCAACAACAGAAACACAAGAGCTGACCATATCTCCAATGGCAGTTGTTGCTCTCTGTGAAACTTCAGTTAAAGTAGATTGTGAAAGCTGCCTGGCTGTCGGTAGCTCACAATCAAGGTTTCAGTTTAGGAGCAGTGGCTCACTGAGCTTGTAACTGCTTTTTCTTTGCCATCAACTGTATTTAGTCTGTCTCAAAATATACTTTTGAGGAGGAAGATAGGAAATGGTTCACAGGAAGCAACCTATTTGCCTGTGAAAATGTTATTTTGGGCCACATTTCAATAAAACTCATTCGTGCCATTTCTGTCTTTCAGCATGATGCTTTCTAAAATTAGTACACTATTTGTTTGAAAACAGCACTCAAAGAGACATGTAGAAGAAGTCGAATACAGATCCTCTTTGAGATTATAGAGGAATTTAAGTGAGCACTTGAGGGAAGCATTTGTGGTACAATTTCGCTGTGGGTTCTTGTACGGGTGGTAGGAATGCAAGTACTTATTATTGTAGGTTTGCTTCTCTTTCTCTCTGTCTATATGGTTGCCAGTAGTAAGGATGTTCTGTGTTCTGTGGTGGGCTTCACTCAGTTTCAGCTAAACTTTAACACTGTCAGTTTGGTTTTAACCTTGTTTAACTCAGCAATAAGTTTCACTGGTGCCAATGGTGCTTATTTGCAAGTCAGTATATATAGGACTTTAGCTCTCTGGTGTGCTTAAACTATAATCCGCTTGTTTGAAACTGAAATTCTGAAAGCCATTCTAAGAATAAATGATGACTTCTAATGTTCTTGTTTAGATTGTAATATTTGATTATCTGAAATATTTTTTCTTCTTTACTTGTTTCCTTTCTTCCCCAAAAAGAGTAGTAAGGATGCCATTATGCTATAGAAGAGAAAACTAGTCTAATTTCAGTTTTAGGTATATGTCTAACTGGCTAGTAGCCAGGGAATGCTTTTGCAAATACACCTACTTTAGGATGTTGCGTTCTAAAATGGGTTAAAATCCTAGTTAGGAGATAATTTGTTTAAAATGAATTTTTTATTTTATGTTGAGTGTGTACAGTCTCATTTTTGAATGCTTAATAACACTATTCGATAGCACTCCAAATTCAACTGGCAATTAAAAACCTATTCTTATATTTTGAATTCATGCCATGAAACCTGACTCTTTCCCTAGGTCTGGTTTCAGTATTAAACTGCTAAATATACCTTTCTTTCCATTTTCTAATAGTGTTGTCTAAAGAAAAATAAAAGTGAAATACATAGAGGATAACTTTGTATGCCCCTGTGTTTGCAATGGATGCTGGTATGTTTATAAGGGATGCAGGTATGACCTCTTAGAGAGATCCTAGCCCAAGGTATTTATTTATCCATTCATTTAATTTATATACTGCCCATCTAACCAAAGGCCACTCTGCGTGGTTTACAACATAAAACAAAACAATAAGCAAACATTTAGCCATGTTTTTAAAGCAGGAGAGGTATAAGCATCAACATCTGTTAAAGTATGCCTCTCTACTATCCGTAACCATCTTTGTGGTTATGAATGAGAGAGAGCAGTGCAAGGGAAGCTGCAGAGCATTCATAACCCTTTCCAGTATCCAATGTCCATCCCAACCTCCCTCTGATCCCCCTTCCCAGTAGGTTGATGGTTGTGCTCAAATGGAGGTGAGGTTTATTCTTTTTCACCAGACCTGTCAGGATACTGTGTGGCACAGTACGTTTCATCACAAGCAACCTCTTCCTTTGAATCAAGGCACAAATTCTCCCAGTAAAGCTCTTTGTAGACTGGACTGCAACTGTGCCCAGAAAATTTGAATATACAGTGCCTGCAGCATTATGTCACAGTGTGAGGGTTCTCTTATAGTACCTCTCCTTCCTGCTGCTTGATACACCATTGGCTGTGGTGTATTCGGCAGGAGTGGGTGTAGTCGATTGAGGGCAACACATTCCCCACTTCCTTTTCATTTATATTCCATGTACAGTATTCTAAAATGAAACAAACACAGTCTTTCAGACATTACTGTAGAAAAGACAAAATAATTTGGCTTTAGTATTTGGTTTCAAGTGAACCGAATGATCTGTTTATATGGAAAAGAGTTTTATTTTAAATCCACTAAGCTTTTTGCTATTCAGCTTGTCCAACAAGTAGCATTAAAGGAATTTTTTATTTTTATTATTCATTACATGTTTCTCCCTATTCCAACTTCGAAGTAGATCCTTGGAAGTTGTGTGTCAGTAGTTAACTTGTAGTTCTGAATAATGACTAAGAAAATAGGAAGTATGGCTGACTTTATCTCTCAGGCTCCTCTGAACTTAAAAAATCCTAAGCAGAAACAGTGCTGAGCACTGTTGTGACTGGGCGTTGTTTGGTTCCATTTGTTTTGCGCTTGTAGGTCTTAGAATTTATTTATTTATTTATTTATTTATACCCTGCCTTTTTCCTTGAAAAGATCCAAGATGGACATAACAAGCTGTCTTTGTTATGTCACTGGTGAATTCATGACATTTGATGCTGAATCTTTATTTTTTTATTTATTTTATTTATTTATTTGATTTATATCCCGCCCATCTGGTCTGGTCAATCTTGCATCTTACTACTCTTCCTCTGAGTCAAAGTGTGTCATAGCAATACCTCTTGCTGATATCCCATTTCCTGAATCTCAATATTTGCTGATTTACAAAAAAAAAAAATTGTCTAGTGTGGGTTGGAGAAGAGGGATGAAATTGTTCAGGACTTCTCAAGCTGCAACACAGCATTGAAGATGTAAAGAAGATGCCATACTGGCAATACTGTGAAAACTGAAACTTAAAGTTATACCCTCAAAAGCAAAATAACTACAGTAAGCATCTGTTACCAGTTTTATTAATATGCCTGTTCCAGGTGTGGGTGTAAAATTTTTCCAATAAAATTTTAGTCTTTAACCCATTAAAATATTTAACATGGGTTACCCTGGCTTTAGATTTCATTAGTCGGTCCATTCTTCTCACATATTGGGTCACAACAATTTGGCCTTTCAGTTCAGTCCTTAATGAGATAGTGGAAGCCAATTCCAGTTTACCAAAATGGAAATCTAGTGGCATTTTGCAACAATGCTGTCATCAGACTCATCTCCATAATGCTAATTTAATCATCACTATTGCATGCTACATTGGACACCTTTTTCCCCACTTATACTTACACTGGCATTTGAGGGTTTGTGTTAATGAATGGAAGATTGAGAGTTAAGTTTACTTTGAAGGTAAGCCTCCCTGATATCAGTGCATTCCACTCCTGATATGTGTAGGTAGAATTCCAATCTCATCCTCTGCTTTTTTGTTGTTACCTGGTGCCTTTTTTCTTTACTTTCGTATTTCTTTAATGAACAAAACTTTCTCCACAGACCCACATTTCAAGGCTTCCCCCCGGTGCTGTGGCTGGACAGTCGGTGGCAATTGAAGGAGGTGTTTGTCGCTTGGAGAGCCCGACAGGCTGAACTGCTCTTCCTCTTTGGCAAGGCCAGCATGGATGCCATTCTGTATAATAAGCTCCTTTGTGTTTTAACAGGTCTTGAGAATTTTACTTTTATTTTATTCTCCTTATTGCAACCATGTGCACTGTAACCTGGAACAAGTGCTGCTTTAGCTTTATATTCTTACACTTGGTTTGAATGTATGTGAAAATTGTCTCCATTGGAGTAGGAACTCTTTTTCCAATTGTGCAAATAAAGAAAATGTATAATGGATTTAATATTACAAAACATTTTTATTTTTAATTGATTTGCCTATAAAATGAGAATGCCCTGAAATTGCAAGGGGAAATGGTTAAAAAATGTGCAGTACACTATAATAGATGTGATTGTTTTATATTGAGAAAGTTCAGGCATAAGAGCTGGTTGGAATACAAAAGTGGCTGAATACATTTTGCAATAGTTCATGGTTTCAGTGAGTCTAGTGATAACTTAAACATATTATCTTCTCCCAAGTATGGGCATGTCTTTTCATTTCAGCAAAGTGTGGTTAGTTTCAATGAAGCTGTCTAAGATAGGGTTGTGGCCTGCCTCCCCCGCCCCCTTAACTGTTCAGTTGACGGTACTTTTTCTGGTTAAGTGTTACATAGCTTCAGCTGTTATGTATTATGAATGGCTCTGTAAAGATAACGTGCAGTCATGAAGTCTTTACTTTGTGTATAATGGAATATTGGAATGTAAATAAGAACAAAGTTTATTGGAAAGAGTCAATATTATTCTTTGGTTTAAATATATTTTTAAGAGAACGGTGTAGAAATAAACAAGCTATTAACTGGATAAATAATGCAAAGTGTGCTACATTGAAAATGATGAAGATTCTGATACTACTTTCTTCAGTTCCTTACATTCCAAATCTGCAGTGATGTATAAATGTTTGCAATTAAATTTACATGTTATGCATGTAGAATTGTAAGTGACCTTTAAAATAATTTTTACAGTGAAAACTCATGGTAATATACTTGCTTTCTTTAAATGAGAGTCCATTTTCCTTATAACTTCTTTTAGGCTCTTTAGCAATTTTATTGTTTTTATATTTACACAGATGTAATGGCTAATGGAACAATCATGTTGAGTAACTTGTGAACGGACCTCTTATTCTGTTTGGGAAAGTTAATTAGAGTTTATATTCCCCCATCTTTTGTCCAGACTGATTAAGGGAAGGTAACTCAGGCTTATTTTTCCCCATCTTGCACTGAAAGATAGTATATGCCTTTGTCAGAAATACTTACACAGTAACTTCCAATGTCTTTCTAGTATTCTGATTGATTTGTCTTCTGTATTTGATGTGCCACTTGGTTTAACATCCCAACTGAACGAAAAACATTACAAAAATGTTTTTAATCAGGTACAGTCTACTTTATATAAAGTACGCTGACTTATAATGGCAAACAGCTCTTGGGTCCTCCAGTAATTCATTTGCTGTGAACTCTTGTTGATTTGCTAAGTTTGAAGAGCAAAGGCTATAGGTTGATAACATTCTACTTGTGCTAAAGTGCATCATCCTATATAGCAGTGGTTCCCAACCTTGGGCCTCCAGATGTTCTTGGACTTCAACTCCCAGAAATCCTGGCCATTAGAGGTGGTGGTGAAGGCTTCTGGGAGTTGCAGTCCAAGAACATCTGGAGGCCCAAGGTTGGGGACCACTGCTATATAGAACACGTCAGCACTAAGCTAATTTCTAAGTGCACTTGATTCAGTTGTGCTATACATTAATTGTCTTGTGCAGACTGAGCTCTGAAAGAACCAGTACTTCTTGGCTTGAGAAGATACCAGTTTTCAGTGCAGCCATTTGCCAACCTTTGCATCAATCACAAAGGTAAATTCCTTTTTTTAGTTCAAGATTTTTCTGGTGCTGTCAGTTATGAAGCCTGGCTTCCCTTCATTGTCAGTTTACTCCTTTCTTGTTTTTTAACTCGCTACTATTACTACTAAGAGGGCTAGTCTTCTTATACTTTGTCACAAGACTCACACATAACCTGTGGCACTTGTGACCAGCTGGCACGCCTTTTTTGTGGCATTTGACTTGGTCCAAGAAAGGTATTGTCCAATGGTGGATTTCCTTTTCATGGAACAGCATGACAATTTTTTGTGTTAATATCTATATGAAAAAGTTGTAATTGTATAAAAGATAAGCACACATGGGAAATAATGCATGTTCTTCACAGTTTTGTGTCATATTACTTCTTTAGCTTTTCCTGTGCTGTAGTTTTTTGTAATGTTTATGTTAAAACCAGAAACATGATCCATTCTTCACTTGTGTCGTGTCACTTTGATCAAATTTTAATTAGACGGATGTTATTTTTATGTAGTTCAATATCATTCTCATTTTTAGAAGTCTTGGCTGTGCATCATGCCTCTGATGATCATTTTATACTGTACAAAAAAACTGCATTTTTGTACTTGGCTCCATGAAGAAATATTCAAAAAAATTGTGTACTGATAATGGTCAGATAGGGAGTTATCTGATGTATTCCTAGTATCGTAAAAGATTATTCTCACTATCTAGATAGCTGTCTGGAAGTACCACAGAATTAACTGAGACTGAACAAAGTTTCACAGTGTTTCACAATCCATTGTGAAAAGTCAGAATCAGGGAATTAATGTAGTGGGTATTAAATATCTAACTCTGGCTTCACACAATTGAAACATTTTAGCTTGGGATGACCGAAGAATCTCACAGCTTCTGATTCCACTGCTGCTCTTTATGTCCCCTGAAGGTATGAGTGGAAATTTAATAAATGGGCTGAGGTTCCTTACTCACATTGTTCTAACTAGAGTACTGAGTAAATTGGTGTTGGCTTCATTTCTCTTGAGGCCCAGAGAGTGCCTTTCAACATTGGGAACAAGGAACAGTGATCAAAGATAGAAGTGTGGCACAAAGTCCCTAACACACTGTAATTTTTCATTCTTGGCAGTAGCTGATACAGTCTAAGGAGCAATAGTACACTTAGTTCATGTGATAGAGGGAGAGCAGTCGACCTAGTGTATTTAAATGCTCATATTAAGTGTTGATTACCAAGCCCAGGAGTTTGAGCAAGTTTGGGGAACAAATAGCTTTACCTCTTGTGTTGTCATTTTTTTTCACACAGTACTGTAATTGCCGAATTATTGCTCTTGTGGGTAGCCTGCAAGTTGCATACACATCTACTTTTCCGATTTGGAGATGACTGTGTGAGCAGCAAAGTTCCCTCTAAGCCATCTCTGCCTTCCTGTGTACAGCTCTGTTCCTCCTCCGCGCAGCGATCACATTAGGTTCCTGTCGTGACTGAACCCTGCAGAGAGGTGTAGTCCAGCCCAGTGGAGCTGAAAATTATAGGGTACATTGCTAGCAGTGTGACAACAGAGGAGCTAGAACTGGCTGTTCCCTTTAGGTGTGTTCAGACATCTAGAATCATTAACACCTGAAGATGGTCACACAGTTGCACTAGATGGGATGTAGCCATAGTTTCCAGTTGGTTTTTCTTAAGAAGGTTGGCCATGTACTTGTGCCGTAATAATGTAGCATATGAAGAAAAAATAATATAGATAGCTAAAAGCAATTAGAGGTTGTTTTTCATCTTTCTATAGTGTGGATTATGGGAAGATAGTGCTTAAAATTTCCTTTGGGTTTATAATTCTGGTCTAAATCAACTCCTTGTTTCCACTTAGAGTAGACATAGTGGCTGAAATCAAGAGTGAGCTGCACCTAGAGCAGCTCACTGAAATTTATGGAGGAATTGACTCACCCAGTCCCCACTAAATCGGTGGATCCATTCTAGTCAAAATTTACCACTGGGTTTCATCCCTTGAAGCAATTGCTGAATGTAAATCAACACTTAATATTTTTTATTTATTCAGTATGTCTACTGTAGTTGGGATTAGCAGTTGAATTTAGGCCAAGGAATATTATTTGTGGAAAAAAAATATAAATTCACATTTAAGAAGTTGGTATATTGTATCCATAATGAATTTCAGTATCATTATATTTCGTTGAGAACATCTTTGAGAATATAGCTCTTAAGGTGTTCTGGAAATAAAGGTTACTGTTTTTCAATTCTATATCTTTCGCAGCTCTTTTATGCCCTTGGTTCCAACTCTCTGGAACACTCTTCTGTTAGCCATCAGAAAGAGCTGAATTAGAATGGACAGGTGTGACGCGCCCCTCATGTGTCCCCAGGTTGTTTCACTAGCCTGAGGCCCATGGCACATTCTCTCCTTTACACTGCCACCAGTTGACCTCTGTCAACACCCTTTAATTAGAAAGGTTGAGGTCCCAGCTGAGTATAAAGTTGAACAACACAACACTGGTTTATTGATTATAATTTGCTTAAACAGGTTCTTCATAGACTTTAATGTATTCATTAGATTAATAACAACTTGTTTCACTCTTAACTCCTTTAGCTCTTTACAAGTTCCACACTCTTAACTGCCTATTTTAACTCCTAACTCTGCCACACTCTCTGACTACCACAAACTGACTTCTTCAGACTGTCATCTCTGACTCTCACTGACTGAACTTCTCTAGACTCTGACTCACCCCTCCCTTCTAGTTCCTGTGGCTCCGCCTCCCAACATCACCCACTGGTACATACAAATAGTCTACTACATGAGCCAAAGCAGGGTGATCCACCTATTTTAACTCCAAACTCTGCCACACTCTCTGACTACCACAAACTGACTTCTTCAGACTGTCATCTCTGACTCTCACTGACTGAACTTCTCTAGACTCTGACTCACCCCTCCCTTCTAGTTCCTGTGGCTCCGCCTCCCAACATCACCCACTGGTACATACAAATAGTCTACTACATGAGCCAAAGCAGGGTGATCGCCACAACAGGATCCCCCTAAACAACATACTTCACCTTGATTCTGCACTGAAAAAAAAAACAGCTGTAGAACTGCAAATGACTTATGTAACAATTGCCAAAATCTGTATGGATTTGTAGTCCTGTTGTATTTCTGCTTCAACAACACTAGGCTTAGGGGTGTCGGACCTGTGTAGTTCAAAATTTGTGTATAATTCTTATGTCCCCCAAAATGTAGTATGCTGGGAGGATGACGGAGGTCAGGGGAGTTGTGTGTGTGAATGAATCAACTGAATTCACACACACACCTCCCCTGAGCTCTGTCATCCTCCCAGAATGCCCCGGCACCCTTCCCAGCCACTACATGGATCCACCACGATAGGATAAGACCAGAGGCCATTGCACTGCCAACAACAGGGGTCCTAGGTAAGCCCAAGACCCACCTTTTCAGGCCATGTCCTGGTGATGAATAGCAGCACAGTATTTATTGAAATAGCTATTTATTGAGAAAAAAACTCACATATATAACCAAAACCATGTGGCTCAGATCTGTTCAATCCAAGGGAGTATAGAGTATAGTCCTGTGGTCTGTTATATGCCAATTTAGAGCACTTGGGTCGTCACAAATCCTGTGTAGATTTCTCTTAATACTAATTGTCCCGGTGATGAATAGCAGCACAGTATTTATTGAAATAGCTATTTATTGAGAAAAAAACCCACATATATAACCCAAACCATGTGGCTCAGATCTGTCCAATCCAAGGGAGTATAGAGTATAGTCCTGTGGTCTGTTATATGCCAATTTAGAGCACTTGGGTCGTCACAAATCCTGTGTAGATTTCTCTTAATACTAATGGCTGATACGAGAAATAATTTTGAGACTTTGCTTCAACTTAATCTATGTCCCAAAGATGAATGCATCTATTTGCCTACCCATTCCCAAAAATCATTTTTGGTTTTCTAGAGAAGAGGCTGTTCACTTCCATCTTCGTAACAGAGCAGTTGAGTCCTTTATAGAGTCTTCAGCCAGCCACCACCAGAGTTTGTTTCCCTCCCCTTTGCCCAGCTACACACTTGTTGAGCATGAAGCACCATTGGCTCTAAAGTCTACAAGGAGAGGAAGGATTAAATATAAAATTGGCAGGGAAATGCAACGAAGGAGTGTAATGTCAGTGTTTACAGTACTCTTTTAAAAACCAACATCAGAACCCAGCTGAGGGTGGTTCACTGTGACCGGTGTGTAATGATGGTTGTGTGGGGGAAATGACCATAATGGGAGGGGAAACCAGCTGCAATTGCTGAAACCATGGTGAAGGATGCCAGTTCAAATGAAGGCTGGCCATTTATTATGTCTTGAAAAAAAAAACAGAAACTTTCTTGGTATGGGAAATGACAGCATATTACAAGGAGCAACTGCAGCAGTATATAATATTGACATAGGTAACTGCTAGGACCTTTGAACAATATACACTTGACTCTCAAATTGCCCTTGATACTGCAGCACCGAAACGTTATGTTCTGAAATTGCATGGTACAGCCATGAAAACACTCCATGATTGTGCACACATCACTTTAAAATAACACCTTGTCTTCGTGCATACTGTGTGGTCTGCTCATAAGAATATACATAGATGATGTTTGAAAAAGCAAACTTCTTTCATTAAGGAAAAGTGTCCACCCCTCAATTCAGAAGGAACCTATTGAGACCAGCTTTAATTCCGTGGCATTTTTAAAGCAGATGGGCAAAATGGAAATAGTCAAGCAAGCAGGA